TATATATATATACATATAAAAGCGTCAGCATGGATGTAATGAAATAGAATAACAACAGAATAGTGTATGTGAAGAAAGAAGAAAAAAATCATTTTCAGACAATTTTAGTAAATTTGTTTCAATTGAATGCATTTATCTGTGTTAGTTAATTGATTGGTCACTTCGACGATCGGCTAACTGTTTAAATTGAATATTGTTGATGGTATTGGTATTGGTGATGGATGGTATCCAAGATCGTTCCTTCTTTATATATACTTTACTAGGTTCGTTGAATCATCATGAACGTGACTTTCATTTTTCAGTATTTTGAATCGATGAATTATCCGCTGTGCAACGTGTAATGAATGAATGTAGTGTGTAGCGTGTTTTGTCACAAGTAGAGAGTATTTTGAATGCATGATTTGTGTGTGTGTTCTTCTTCATTAAAAAATAATCCTTTTGAACTTGTCTAGTGAGAATGTTACTGAAATTTCAATTGGAAAGTAATTGATTTTACTGAATTGAAGAGTGCATGAATGTAATTTTTTGTTTTATTTTTCTAACAACAGTAGTCGCAAGGTTGCTGTTTGTGAGAAATTTGATGGTTTAGTTCATCGATTTATTTGATTTGTCTGATTTCACGTTAGTTATGTAGGATTTATTCAGTTGTTTTTTCATGTTTTCTTTAATCCTTTATTTATTTATTCAAAGGTTGTTATGTTTGTTTTGAATTATTGTTGTTGATTTTGCATCACGCGGCTGAAGCCCTCCTTTGATTTGTGAAGTTATGATATGCATTTTATTTTGCGCTTACAAATTATTGTTCTGTTTTTCACTAGTATTTTTTCTAAATAAGCAATTTTTGTTATTGTTGTTGTTGAGTCAGAGAGAGCCCCAATAATGGCAATATATCGCGCATTCATTCAAAATACCGAATACAGATCGCTGGATCGTTGATAATAAGTATTTGATTTGATGATGATAATAATGATAATGGTGATAATAACTTGATAGTGTTTGATTGTGTATATTTGAGGATTATTAGTATTGTAGTGAACAAATGTTATTATTACGTTTCATTTCACTTTCGTTATTTATTCCTTTATTTGTTCATTCGTTCTAACTATTGTTTTTGGGTATTCTTTGTGGTGGGGATAGTAGGAATAGGAAGGAGTGTTCCCCTGTGTTGAAATTTGATTCCATGCGGTAAGGTTATCCATACCAGAACCGCTCTGAATGTTTCACTGTTTTCGGAAAATTGAAATGTTCACAGTTTTTATCTCATAGTTTATCATGATGCGATTGTAATGGACATGATATACTGTGCATGTTCGTTCATTTGATCATATGGTAATGTTACGTTATGTTGATGATCATGGTTTATGCGAATCGAGAAGCGATATCAAT